TAATTCTAATTAATTACAGAAAATATCTCTATTTTATAAAATAAATGCTGCTGAATCCAAATAAGAGTGCTAGATGAGTAATGAATTGTAGATCACGTTTCTTTTCATGTGATTATTATCTGAATCACAAAACAACCGATATTTTTATTATTTTAATTACATTGAAGCTTATGAAACTTTTTCAATTTTTTTATGATTATCTAATTATATAATAGAAATGTAAAAACCTTGGCTATATTCTTTCATGAAAGATCATCAGCTATGTTTGAAATATTGGAATAAAATATTATTGTCAACTGTATTCCATTAAAAAATAAACACCTTGGTTTACTAAGGAAAAGCGTATCATGAATTAATTATCATTAATTATAGTTCATTATTATAAAATTAACTATTACCATTTTGATGTTTCATTGCAGAGAAACTACCAGTGATCGTGGAAGAAGCATAAAAAATGGCAAATAAAATTACAGACAGATTTTTATGTTATGTTTCATTAATTGTTTTGTCAATTGATATGTTTGATGACATATAAATCATTTACGAGGTTTTATATAATTAAAAAGTTAAAATAAAAATGGAAAAATATTTAAAATTGATGATGTTGTTAGCATTGACATCAACAGTATAAATATATTTTCTTTGATTATTATTTATTGGAAAGAAATATTTTTTTTATAATACTCTGTTTCTAAAATTAGCATTATATCACACTTTGAAAAGATAATATTGTTATTTGTATATTTGTGGTAGAATTTCATTCAACAGCTATCTTTTTATAAACCCTTAAGGGTCATTTTAGTCTATAGCTCATAGCAATGAAAATCGATAATAGATAAAAATATATATGTACATATATATCAGAATAACATGTTTTCCTGAAAATACTTTTTCGCTGAACATAGATGATAAATAAAAAAAACCGACGAGTCGATCGGAATGCAATTTTAACACGTTATTCAGTAGTAAATTCACGTTTCCGTGGTGAATATTTCACTTTTTCACATAAAAAACCTTTAAAACAAATTTGAAACTTTTATGATTGAGCTTTAAATAACTTACTATATGTACATCGGTCCAACTAATTCTGGTACTCTATTTTACTAGTTTCCTGTATGTTCAATACCAAAACTCAACCTTTGTGATAACAATATTGAAGAAAGTAAAAAACTGGTTTTTTGTTTTCGTCGATTCCATTGTCTGAAATGGAACTTCTTAAGATTTAGCTGATAAAGGATATCTTTTAATTAGTGAACAACAAACCCTATCTTCAATCAATTTTAAGTATCAAAGTAAATGATTAATCTTAAGAGAAAACTAAGAAGACATCTAGGAAGTACATTTCTAAATTTTTCTTTGATTGAAATGATCAATATTGAGAAGTTTTTGAGAAAACTGATGATTTAATTTAAAAAAAATTTTTTTTTTAAAAAAAAAACACATCTAATATTTCCTTGAAAGTAAAAAAAGCTGGCTGAAAGATTTTCAATGACATATTTAAAAAGTAAAGAGTCAATATTGACACCTGTGCTACTGATGATTCAAGAATTAGATGATTTTTAGTGGGTTTAAAAATTTCCATTTAAATAACATAATAACACTAATAAAATAAATATAATTTTTGATGAAAAATTGTATCACATGTCATGAAATAAAGTGTGATGAAAAAATTCCCAACAACTTTTGAACAAAATCATCCAATATCTTTTTTGAAGGAAATAATCGAACTTCAATGAAGCAATTTGAGAACTTTCTAGTAGAAAAACTTTTCATTAATTTCTCCAACTTGTGCTAAAAAATGGTAGAAGAATGGGAAGGAAATTCCTTAATTTATGTGAGTCATGTGTAGCACACTCACTTAAACAACAAGAGCTTATCAAATAAACATTATTTCGATAAGAAATAAAAAATTATTCATGACTAAACTAGTTTCGATTTACTTTAAATTTGCCATCACACTCTTTTTACATACATAAAACAGGAAGAAAACAAAATGAATCTCTGAAAAAATGATGTATTGAATAAGTTTCTTGCTCCAAACATTATCACAGCCCTTCTTCAAAATCTCAATAACAACTAAAATGAAATCTATTCTGGCAATTACATGGTAAATTGAATGATAAAGACATTAGAAACAATTGTCTAGTGTGCTACAAAGCATCTTGATGTCAAGGGATAGCTATGACCCATAATTAACTCTATTTCCCTAAATGTATAGCCGACGTATTCAGCCCTCAAGTGCTATACAAAGCCACACCCGAAGCTAGGCATCCTCCAACTATCTATCTATGTGGAGAATGCCTGAGGGATGAATACCGAGAAATTTCCTGCATAGGACACTAGATAGCCTCCAACACTGACAAGTCTTTCCAATTTTCCATCTACTTGTTTTTATTCTTGCGTTCATTCTTTTTGCTACATCATGTCTCATTCTTGCTCATTTTTTGTAATCTTCCTACATGAGTTTCTTTAGTCAATTGTTGAACAGCAACAAATTACCCAGATTTAATGCAGATCTTTTTTTCTAGATGATAAGAAAAAAATTTAAAAATAAAATCTATCATTGATTACGGTAATGATGTAGGAGATTTGTAAAATATGTATAAGATATTTTATCGAGTTATTGGACTCGTTGTTGATGCCAATTATTCTTTCTATTATTGATAGGAAAAATCTTCTTAGTAAAGAATAACTTTTAAAAAATTTCTGAACGAATTCATTTTTCGAGTGCTTTATATTTTGTTGCATATATTGGAGAAATAAATAAATATATTCTTTTTTAATTAAATAAAAAATAGTAAAAAAAAACTCATTTTTTTATACTAAGTTAGTTGTTGAATTTTTATCTTTTGTATGAAAGCAATAAATAATTTTTATACAGAGAGAAAGTTATTTGAAAAGATATGTTTTTATTTTGATAATCAAAGTAATCCACAATCACCAAGTTTAGCAAAGCAATTTTTTTTAAGTAACTGTCTTTATGTATTCAAAAATTTCGATCAAAGAAACTGTACATTGGTTAAGCATAATTTTTTTTTTTCATGCTAAAAAAATTTACAAAATAAAAATCTAAAAAAGATAATTCTATGTTGAAAATAAATATTATGTTTATCATTTATCAAGAATATTTTACATTAGTTATTAAAGCTCAAAACTCAATGTTAAAGTTTAAAACGTCAGCATTAATATCAAGAGATACGGTAGTGTCTCGTGCGCCAAACATAAATTGCCGCCATTTAGCCCTTACGTCACGACGAGGCACTACCGTGTCTCTACAAATTATAAGATGATTTTTGCAGGTTATGATTTTTAAATTTACAATTTTTTTCTTATTATAACATAAACATGGGCTGCAATTAAGAATTTGCTCGGAAAGCTATCGTTGACTTTCGATTAAGCATACTATAAAGTATTATCATTGCTTTATTCATAATATACGAAATTTTTTCAATTAAGATTTTATAAAAGCACGAAATTGTGAAAATATTGAAAATATTTAAGCCAATTAATAAATAACAGTCACGCCAAGTTTTTAGTTGTTATGTTTATTGTGTCATTAAACGTACTAAATTTAAAAAAAAAAAAAAACCGAAGAAAATAATTCATTTTAAATATTGTTGATTTGTAGATTTAAATGATTGGCGTTTAATGATTTTAGGACTTTTTGTAATTTCATCATTGTCGTTATTTATGTTTGGCGCAAATTTTTGTACAGCCCAGAAGTAGGGGGCTGTTTTTGATGAGATTATCATTACATATAAAATTGACCTTTGAGGCTATTTTTCAAATATTTTCATCATCAATATAGTTGTTGGACTTTTAAAAATAAATTCTTATCAACAAAATGTTGTTCACGGCGTGAAATAAATTTTTTATAAATAAAAAGACATAATTTTATTTCAACATCAAAAATATACTAAAATAAATGCACCAAGGTTTCTCTGCAGTAACGCATCACAATCTCCCTTGAGATCGAAAAATTGAAGATACATTCAGGACATGGAGTTACCTTCAATATTTGATAGTGTCACTGTATACTTCCCTAGCTTACTCATAGTTTAAAATTTTCTAGAAATTTTCACTTTAACATATAAACACTTTTTTTTTTTAAATTATTAATATCAAATTTTATTAAATTCAAAACTTACATGTATTTGGAGACTTCAATTATTTAAAATTCTGTGGATTCGATTAGAAAGTTTAAGAATAAGGAAAGAAAGAATAAATGAAAGTCATTAGATAAATAAAAACAATCATTTTATTGGAAACGTTACGAGATTTTATAATTATAATTTATAATAATAATAGTTTGATACACATATTTATATTATATATATATATATATATATATATCGATGTTACAATGATTCAAAAAGATTAATAAATCTCTTTAAGCATTTAAGATAATTATTTACATTTTTTATGTGTTTATGACTATAATACAAATAAATAATTCTTTTTATGCCGGTGACTTACGCATGAATACTGTATTTAGAACACACCTGCAATTATTTTTATTTATTTCCTGCTATTTATCTTATAATAACTTAATATAAAATAGTATTCACTACCGGAAAATATAAAAAAAGTTTTTCACATTTTTTTCATTTGTCTATGCATTTTTACTCGTTGTTTAACATCTACATGCGTAAAAATACACAGTTTAAATGACGTATACATATGTAATATGGTATATATTCATGTCTATATATATTAATACTTAAAATTCAGAGCCTCCACATGGGCAAGCTGACGAAGAAGAGATGATATATCGAGTTAAAAGTTAAATGAGATGAAAAAATTATTTTAATGAAAATTTTAAATTAAATACCAACTGAATTTGCTAGAAATAATTTATCTAATTTTATGAGTTAATTTTTTTTAACTCAAATTTTAATTTAATCGAATTAAAATAAATAAAAAGTTATGTATTTTTATTTAAAATTTTCAGTCGAATATTTTTTCAGCCGTTGTTGTTTTTCTTATTGCGTTTTTTAATTTTACTTTTCCAGTAAATGTTTTATCAGAAAACAAATATCATTTACTTGATAAAATAACTTTAATCTAACATTTTTCTTCTTGTAATTCGCGTATTTATTTATGAGAAAAATAATTTAACATAAACTTGGCAATTTTAAAATCGATTCTCATGAATTGTCCAATAATGTTAAAAAGATACTCGTAGTTTTTCCTCTTTTCTTTCTCTATACTATTCTACTGCACAGTTTAACAACATCTACTAAACGAGTACAGTCCTATCTACGGCCCCAGATAAGTAGATGTCCTAAGAGACTAGAGAAAAACAAAAAGTAGCTGGCAGACCTACGTGTATAAAGTAAGAATAGAAATAAAAAAAAAACAATAGTTTGTTACTTTAACTTTTGGCCATGAGAATCGATAGTTCATTGCAAGAAGGGTAAAATACAAAAGGGCTGAAGAACCAAGAGCTTTTTAAGTTCGCCTCATTCACTCTTACATGTACACCATGTACATAAATATAAAACAAAGATCCAGTCACTGATGTCAATGGAATTTTCCTAAAGAGCAATGTCTGACAAAAAAGCTACCATCTACTTCTACATATAGCACAAGATACTGACAACTCGTACTTGTTAATCCTTCTATGATGATTGGTATTATACAAATACCATATATTCATCTTTCTCTCTATACATATATTTTTTTTTATATATAATCAATTTTGCTTCTAAATGCGTTTAAGAGCTTAAAACTAAACTAATGAACCAGTCCAGTTGGTTTTGAGGCTTTGTGACTTTAAAACTAGGAATCAGTCGAGTCATTTTGATTTGCTTGAGCTCATAATAGTTTTGGTCACTATACCAACTTTTTTTGAACTTGGTATTCAATGTATTCATCTATTACTTAACAACTGGCATCTATTTTTTAGTAACTTACTCAAACTACTTGATTATTATTCAATAAATCACAATGGAAGAGAAAATTGAAAGTACAGCATGCTAGACTTTTTTGAATGGTTACTTGAAGAACTATTAGCATTCTAAGTAGGCCGTTGAAATTTACAATAGTCTTCTTTATTTAAAATCAGCAAAACTATTTTTTATAATCATTATTTTATGTATTGATATTTTTCTTAGCTCAAACAAATCAGTATGCTAGAATGAATTTGTTGATCTCACGAATATCCTCAAATCACAAATTATCTGGACACAACTGAGAATAAGAAAGTTGATAACATAACATAAGTATCTTGTCTGTAAAAATATATACAATCCTTAGAACTCGCATCTTCTGGAGTATACATTCAGAAAATGAGTATATAAAATAGGCAGAGTTATCAAAAAGAACAGGAATTCACTGAACAATTTTCGTAATTATATACACGTGAATAGATCTAATTTGAAGTTAACAGTGAACAAGATAACTTGATGACTTCTGATATTTGTCATTTAGAATAAACAAACTGTCATTAGATTGATAGTAGATACTTTTGGACTAACATTCACCGTTCATCCGGTTCAACTCCTATCTACTTTAGTTGATCTTCCTTGAAATTTATAGACCTTTGATCTTCATTGATTATTCTCACTACGACTGTCTGTGAACTACATCTTGCGGTTTTATTTCATAGTGATTTCAGATGAAAATCACTAATGACGTAAATGGACGCATGGAAGAACAACAAATAGCAAAGGCACTTCTGTGCCTCTGTCACGGCACTATTATACATATCAGAAGTGTAATTTTATGTAAAAAGATATGACAGTAACAATGACAGAAGTGTGATCAATATGACGCTCATTCCACCGGTAGATGCTGCTCCTGAATAAATACAATCTGCTCGTTTGTATGGTGCACAATGTGTCTGCAATACAAATGCAACAATAAAGCCATTATTTTTTATGTATTACTGAAAATACCAGTAGCTGAATGTCTAATAACCACATTCTGTTCAAAGATAACTTTTTAATTCAAACGAATATAGAAAATATGTTTCATTCAATAGTATTTAGATCATGTCACCAGGGTATTCAAGATGTATTGATTAATAAAGAAGTTTTTATGCGAATGAATACTATAAATGCTTGGAGAAAAATTAAAAAATTCATTCGAGTATTATACGGCCAGTACTGTATTTATGGCTAGAATTATTGTTCTTTCGTTCTATACTAATTATAAATCTCCTGACTGATGGTGACATTTGAAAAGAATAGATGTTTTATACTTTTAATTAAAGATATTGTTTTGTTAAATTATGTAAAATATTGTGAGATATAAAAGATCAATCAATAGGAAGAAAAGAAATAATTGAGTTAAAATATGTTAGGATATAACAGAGACAATTTATAAGATTGTTTTAATATATTTTATGTTTTTAATAACAAAGTATAAAATATGAATGTAGTTTCATGTTAGTTGTCAGTAATTATGATACTGTCAAACTAGCTTTGAATTGTTTAGTATTTACAAAGTTTCTTGTTAAACTTTTCGTTTCTCAAATATTGTGAGGATAATTTATATTGAGTGTTAATTAACATTTCTCTTACTCCATAACATAGAAAGTTTAACCTTTGATAATATGCTTGTTCTATACAAACTTGCAAGTTAATAGTTTAAAGACAATGGCTCAAGTAATTTTTTCAGTTATTTTTGACTTAAGTATTGATTTTTATAGCAAAACTGTTTGGAAGTTATGAATTTTTAACTCTTTTGAGGTTTTTCAGAATTCAAGAGTTCAAAATCTATGAAAATCATGGTGACTTTTGAACTTTTCGGTTTTCATGCAATGTAGGAAGTTAAATCATGATGCATTGTTTTAAATAACGATTCAAAGCTCTTTTATTTAATGTAAAATAAATAATTCACTATCTGGATAGAATAAATAGCTTAAATAATTAAAAAAAACTTCAATATTATATTTTACTATAGAATTTTTAGTCTAGAAACATTTAAATATTAATTGCTAAATTATTTTAATCCCCTGACGAATTAAAAATAAATAGAATTTTGTCCACCGACTATTGTTAATATAAAAACAACCACTGTTTATGATAAATAAGCATAAATATTGCACAAATTACAGCATTAATAGCTTTTGTGAATTCATGCATTATAAATAGGTTTTATTTGGCTCAGTGATGAGGACAATGCAACGCATTTTCACTAATTAAAGTTTAATATTCTCCCGTAAAATCTTAATAGAACTAAAATCCAAACATAACAACCTCTAGCAAAAATTTATCATTCATAAAGGATATCATTATTTATTCACTTTTATTTTATATCTTTTAAAAGCTAGACTTGAAAAATTTTGTTTTGAGAAGTATGACTTATTGATGATTGTAGTATCTTATCAACTATGACAATAGAACAATAATTTTAGTTTTATTTTTATCAATAAAAAGCCTTGATTTTTATTCCTTTTAAAATATCTGGATATTTTAGTAATTAGTCTTACAGTGATATTATTTTGAAACTTAAGAATATCTTTCATTAACTACTAAAACAATTACACTGGCCATCAATACAGTTTTTTGTTCAAGAAATGTATTAATAGATATTTAATATTATGATATTAATTGGAGTTTGATGAAAAATAATTGATATAATAAAAAACAAAGGTTTCTTTCAATATGGTTTCAATGGTTATTTTCAAGATATTGATCAAAATAGACTTAATTGACTTTATTTAACAAAAAATATCAAAAACAATATATTTAATTTGAAACAAAAACTCACGAGATATTGAATTAAATTGGATAAAAAAAATATTTTACTGTCAAACAAAAAAAAATACGATTCCTAATTTTAAGATGAGAAAAATCACTCTCAGTTATTTTAGATAAAAAATTCTGATCGTCATGGACAGAATAATAATAAGAAAGTAAAATTTCTGTCAGTTTAAGAAATCATAAAATGTAATTGAATTTAATAAAGGTAAAATTCTTATTCAATTCAGCACGATTTGATAGAATTTTCTCGTTAACTATTGTTACATTTTCTTGTTTTATTTTTTTACTCTACTATTCAAGGAGTGTAGCTTAAAAAAAAGGTGAAATAATAATTCGATTGGCTTAAAAATACTGATAATAAAATTTTTGTCTTTATAATTAAGTAATAGATCATTCAAACTCAGATATTCAGCTACTAATATAGTCAAGTAGAATTACAAAGAAATGAGATGAATTAAGTAGAATGGACTCATGAAAATAAAGGTAGAAAAGACACTAAAGTTACCTTAATTAATGAATTGGACATCATGTCTAAAAAGTTTTTAGTGAATTCAGCCGTTTCCTCACCACACTTTCGACGTACTGTATGATGAGAACAATCCAAAAATTCTTGAAATGCACTAAAAAAACAAAAAAATAAAACGAAATTAAAATAATAACTAACTAAAATTTTTTATTAAGAAGTAATCTAATATCTTGTATATTAAAACTCTACAAAAATTATTGACACCAGGAATTTTCATAATTTTGTTCATAAAACAGCTCATTAAATATCAGAAAATAACCTTTTACATATTATTATTATTGATTGCATTTTATGCATGTTCAAGTGCAAAAATATTTCCACGGGTTTTATATTTTGCAGTCACTTAATTTTCGTAGTGGAATGTCAGTCTCGCCATTAACTGGTAATATTGACCAACGAAATTATTTGAAGGTGATGTTTACCTAGTGAATTCAGTTAATACAACTCTTGTATTTGTGAATCGTTTGCTCATTTTGGATCAAAAATTTTTATATTCATTAATTGATTTATTTAAAGAATATGTCCTTGGCATTAAATCAATCTTTGACATCATCATATAAATCATATTTAAACAGAAAAATATTTTTTTCAACTTCAAGGTGTTAATCTTCATCAACAAGAGTTGGAAAACATAGTGACAAAATTTGTAGCAATGTTAAATCAAGTAATTTGGTAATAATATTCCGAAAGAATTTTTTATTCGTATTAAATCCATTACGAGTATTTTATGTACACGTGTACGTTTTTCCCTAGAGAGTCCAACGAGTCTGTTATTCGATAGTATGGTCCAGGATGTAACGTCATTAGCCTATCTTGCTACGGTCTACTGCAGCTTTTGAACTCATTTCCCGTAGGAAGACCAACACTCCCAGAACTCTCGCACCAAGTCCACGAGTTGTTAAAGAAGAGACAAAAATAAAACGAAACGAGGAATAAAATAAAATAAGTGAAATAAAACCATGGAGAATTTATGAAATAATTCATGAGTACTTGACGCAGCGTGAACTAATTTTTTTACTATTTTATTACATAATCTCGCGTTTTATTAGCTGGAAGTACTAGGGATTGCCATCGATACAATAAACAATTGTAATGAGCTTGATATATACAAAGACATTAGTGAATATATACGATAATGGCAATTGTTAATTCGTATTTATGGAAATGATTGTCGCATAGTCAGCACTTGACATAGAGTCAAGGTTTGATTATATCCATATATACATTTGTTATTAATGTTTTTATTTATCTAGTAAACTTACCAGCAAACAGACTTGACAGGCTCGGATGATCTTGTTAAATTCTGGTTCTCTAATTCACGAACAGTGTTCTGGTATTTTTTTGAACATAATTCGTAATCAGACTGTACTTTTTGCATACATGGAGCATGTTTCAGGAAAGCTGAAACAAATGTAACATGTGTATAAATTAAGATAAAATTAATGAAGAAGTCTGGTCGAGAAATGCATGCATTTTCTCTTTAAACAAGAAATATTCTACAACTTTTTGGTAAAACATTAAAAAAAAAAAACAAATATATTTTTATTTTGTAACTAAAAATACATTTTTCAATTATCGCATCTACTATGTTGTCGAAAATCAATATTTCTGAAATTCAATACGATAACACAAAAGATAGTTGGATGTGAAAGGAATTGAGAAAATGGATTCTAGGACTAAATGGGTTTTTTTTCAGAAGGTTACTAAAATTTTCACGATTTGAATCATTTGTTGGATTGTATTCAAAAAATGAAATTAAGTTTGAAAACTTTTTATCAAGCACAACAAGCTTTATCAAATCATTTACAAGTTAATTTACATACATTTCTTCTTATCAAATATTTCATTTATCATTTTAAATAAACTTACATACGAGTTAGAAATAATTTAATTAAAAAAAAAATTTGATTCAGAGAGTTTTAAAAATAGTTAGTATTCATGATTTAAGTGTATTCCCACAGTTGAATATCCTTGTTAAAATTCCCCACTTATCCTTAACAATCATTTTAATTATAAAAAAAAGTAGAGAGACCTTCATTAAAAGTACAGTTAGATAAAACTGAGGACAGGATTTTTTTAAATAATTAAAAAAGTTAGTAAATAATTGCTAAACAGCATGCATCAGTGTATAATCATGAATTTTGTGAGACATAAATCATTTATTTCCACGCTAATCCCAAATTTATGAGAATTTATTGATCGTATCATCAAATTCAAGTCATACTCATGAGCCAAAGTAGGGTCGAATTAAAATTCAATTAAAAATTTATCAACTATAAATGAAAAGCTATGGATATTTACAGCTTTTTTCTTTTAACTAAATGAACACATTTAATTCGATTAAACCAATGATATTAGTAATATAAATACGTTAATCCAGTTGACTAATTGAAATAGCATAGAATTATAAATAAATCACATTTAAAATGTTTTTTTTTCTCAAATAAAACCAACTTTTGGTATTAATTTTTAACAAAAAAAGTGTTTTATAATTATTACTCGAACTATTTGTTTGTTCAATTTAGTTAAAAATTAATTTAAAAATCGTTCCATCAATATGAGCAAAACATTTTCAATTCAATTACATGACATTAAATTCCAGTTCTGTTTATATTTATTGAATATTTATATTTAATTGGTTATTTTTATAAATGCATTTTTCATAGCAATAACTAGACCTTTTGACACAAAGAAAATATACTAATTTATTAAAATAAGTTTAAAAACGCTTATTGCATTTTTTGTTTATCAATTTTTCAATTTATTAATATAATGGACAATTAGTTGATTTAAATTTTTTCGTGGTGTTTCACATTATTCCCTCTCCCCGTATCAAGTTTAAAAATAACATCATAGATTTCATGTACAGCTGTTTTCCATGATAGATACACTCATTTTGAAAAATTGACTAATTCAACTCTCTACGTTATTTTTTATTTTTTACCTCAAACTTTATACAGTATCAAAATGTTAAATTACTATTGAATTGAGTTATATCTGAATATTAATCAAGTATTGATAAATTTAATCTTGATATCAGTTCAACCTGTCTCAAATAAAGTTTATTGAATATTCAAGGAATGAAGCCGATAGAATAAAACGACTTCTCTTATTTAATAAACTTCTATAGAAGTTTCATGTAAAAGTATGACAGCTGATTGTAAAATAAATTAATTGAATATTAATGAAAAAAATAAAAGGTATCACAAATTTATCAATATGTCGAATTAATACTCTTTACTAATTGATGCATGTAATAACATCAGTTTTAATAACTTCTGTAGATATGCTTATTATAAAGTAATAAAATATTTATAATTAATTGATAATTATTCAAATTAATGTATTTATTACGTTCACTATTTCTTTGCTCTAAGAACGATTTTTTTTAATGATAAAAAATAGATAATTTCAGAACATGAATGGAAAATTTTTAATCAGAAAGTTCTAGAGTGTAATTCTTCTATTGAGTAATTTCTTTTATACTACTATTTGACAAAATGCATGAATAAGATAAATAAAAAGAAGAAGAATAACAAAAAAAAGTGATTAATTTCTAAAAAGAAAAGGATTCGTCTTAATGAATCAATGACTGATGATTGTTGATAAAGTTTGAATAAAGAGAATAAATCAATTTTCCGTAATTGCATCAATGGTAGCCTTCTTGATGAAACAAGATCGTTGAAAGTCATTAGAAGTACTATGCTAAAGTAAATTCTTCATGCACGTATGTGATTTGTGAAACATTAGCGGATTATCAGTGGTATTAGATGGTACTGAAGTAGTTGAGAGAAAGCAGTTGGGGAGTGAGTGAGGGATAGTAAGAGCACTCAATTCAATAATGCATTCGGCACTCTCAAGATTACCAACATACTAGCGATAGAGGGTTTGTATAGGTATGCAGCATATACAAACATGATATAGGAATTTACCATAAATTTGAACTTAAAATGTATCATTAATAATAATTGATATTTACCATCTTGATAAGCGCCTTCTTGACATAGTTCTATTATTGCCATGTTAACACCCTTATATAGCGAAAAAAAATTCTGCCTCTGACTTTCTTTCATGCATCTCAGGGTATACAGTTTTATACAGCCCATACCCGACTGTAAATCTCTGCAAGCATAAAATTACCATAATTTTATTTATCCTAATTTATTTACGTATATTCCCACGTACACATTAATTAAGATTAATTAGTTTAATAAATGCACGAGATAAAAATCCATGTCTGACTTGGGTAGTTAGCATTGTTCACATAACTCTAGACCAGCCAAACTATCAGAGAAAATAGTGAGACCACTGCAAATCCGGAAAAATTCAAATGTTTAGTGATAAATCACTTAAAGTATTTAAATAATTAAATGCCTAAGTGTTTACAATGTTGAACACCATAAACAAACTATAGAATTTTGGTAAACGGCAAAAAGCGTTTTAAAATGGACTACAAAATTGCCATAGTTCGTTTATGATGTTTAACATTGCAAACACTATAAATGTTTAGTTTCTAAACACTTGGATTTGCAGTGACAATTCTAGCTTATCAGTTTATATACATATACATTTATTTCTTCATCTCAAGAAGTAGTCAACGTTTTCGAGAGGACTTAACTACATTTTGAGGATCTTTCTATATTAAGCGAAATGTTCAAAGTTTCATAACAACAATAGAACGGCCACAAGAGTTAGTTAAGTTTCCTCCAATACTTGAGGAAATGTTCAATCAATTATCCACTTTATATACATATTTTCAAGACCCGTTGGTGTATTTAAATTCGACTTAGAAATAACTAATGTCTGGTTAGTTGAAGTTGGATCACATATATAAAAGGAACCCACAAAATGAATAAAACTAATTAAACTATTGGCTAATCCATCACAAGCAAGGTATATCAGAAAATAAATAAATGAACTTCTGTTACATGGGGTGTATTTTAAAACCACATGATTCAAATTTTCATTTTATTCTTGATTGCATTGTGGTAAGTGATGAAATATTAATTTGATAAGTTTCCATGCTATTTGTTAAAAAGTCAGGCAATAAATCTTCGAGTATTTTTTCTACGAAGAAAAGTTCGAGATAATGAAGAAAAAAATAGCCAACCATATTTTAACTTACGGACAAAGAACTTGAAGCTGTTTTTTCGTTGTGACAAAGCCCAGATCGTTGTTGTCAGTAATTTTTCCAAGTGGTCTAGCGCACCTGGCAAGATGTTCATGACCACACTCTTCTCCTCGACAACTCGCCAGTACTAAAATTTCAAATACAAAATGAAAAATTATTCAAACTGAAAACAAACAATGAAAATCTTATATAAGTAGGACAATTTCGTAAGATGTGAGTTATGAATAAAAATTAATTACATTTGTATGTTTCAAAATAATGTGTGAATTCAAATGTTGAAAAGTAATTAATGGAATATGATATTTATTATTTTATTTACAACTCACTCGTACAAAATATTCACTTCAAATACTTTCATTATTTTATAATTAATTATACGTATTTTGGAGTAATTTACAGGACGGAATGCAAAAATTTTTGATTTCATTACCTAATAAAATATTGAATATTTTCAGAGATATTTAATCATATTATGAAATAATTAAAACGTAAAAATTTTATTATAAACATGAGAAATAAGTATATCAAACAATACTACTGAAATATAGTAAAAAGGATCAATAATTTATTGTTGCATGCACAATTATTGCCTTCTCAGTGATTGTTACCAACTAATTTCAATTAATTAATAATCATTTATGAATGATGTTTTATCGATAAAAAAAAAATTAACAATCCTCTTATGAGATGATTTTATCAATTTTTAATTAACATTCATGTAAATTACAAACAAACTATTATTTTGATTCAATAATACAATAATTCATTTATTATTTTAGCCATTTTATTCCAGTGAAATTTGATAATCATTTTTTTTAACAATCATTTTAATTATAAAAAAAAGTAGAGAGACCTTCATTAAAAGTACAGTTAGATAAAACTGAGGACAGGATTTTTTTAAATAATTAAAAAAGTTAGTAAATAATTGCTAAACAGCATGCATCAGTGTATAATCATGAATTTTGTGAGACATAAATCATTTATTTCCACGCTAATCCCAAATTTATGAGAATTTATTGATCGTATCATCAAATTCAAGTCATACTCATGAGCCAAAGTAGGGTCGAATTAAAATTCAATTAAAAATTTATCAACTATAAATGAAAAGCTATGGATATTTACAGCTTTTTTCTTTTAACTAAATGAACACATTTAATTCGATTAAACCAATGATATTAGTAATATAAATACGTTAATCCAGTTGACTAATTGAAATAGCATAGAATTATAAATAAATCACATAAAAATTTTATTATAAACATGAGAAATAAGTATATCAAACAATACTACTGAAATATAGTAAAAAGGATCAATAATTTATTGTTGCATGCACAATTATTGCCTTCTCAGTGATTGTTACCAACTAATTTCAATTAATTAATAATCATTTATGAATGATGTTTTATCGATAAAAAAAAAATTAACAATCCTCTTATGAGATGATTTTATCAATTTTTAATTAACATTCATGTAAATTACAAACAAACTATTATTTTGATTCAATAATACAATAATTCATTTATTATTTTAGCCATTTTATTCCAGTGAAATTTGATAATCATTTTTTTTATCTGATTATGAAGTTGCATTGAATAATTAAACTTGTAAATAAATAACCATGAGATATTTTTTATGTTTATCATATTGAATTAAATTAATATTTATAATTATAAGCAACATAGAAAAATGAGAATTAAAACAATATAATCTTTTTACGCTTTGCATTATATGACATGATGAATTATTCAAAATGCATAAAAGTATCAAAACGATTTAAATTAAATATTAATATAACATTAATTAAAATTTTGCTGCTGAAGTATATATCAACCTCCTAGCTACCTACATTTTGTTGTATTATTTCAGAGAAAGTCAGATGGAAAGATTTTTGATATATTTAATAAATGCTAAATTATTCAGAGAATTTTCTGGTAAAAATATTAATATCTAAATGATCATCATAGAAATGGAAGGAAAAAAATAAACAATGACCTTTTTTTACACTAATAACAGCAAAAAGATAAATGGCGTCGCGATTCGACGATGAATGCATAAAAAGTACAGATTATAGCTAATTTAGCTAATGCATATTCCGATAGGCTAATCAAATTAAAAATTAATAAAAAAGTCAATTCAAAAGTATTTTATATAAATAATAAACTATGAAACAAAATTGTAATCGTGGTCGAATATTTTATTCAATGAGATACATGATGACCTTTTATCAATTTTTTTTCAACAAAAAAAGATCAATGCCAATCGAAAAATCACTTAGGTCCAATTAAGTTAATCAAATGAATAAAATAGAAGATCTATTTGACCAGGAAAGTGCTAAATTCAATTGGAACTTGTCTAAATAACTGACGTGTTAGCAAATAGATATTGAATGACAAGGTTCCGAGAAACTTTTCGACAGAAGTATATTAAATATTATTTAATGAGAAATTACATGAATTCGTAAAACACCACAAATGAGGAGAGAAGATATCTAATGAACTTTATATTCGTTTTTGAAATATTCAGAAAGTGATTTAATGATTGATTTAAGAGTAAAAATATGTTCTTCTTTATTTCAACATTTAAAAAATGTATTGAAGTATTTTATTCTGTTTCATATTCTGGATAGTTAGCCAATTTTAGACGAATAGTTTTCCTGGAGAATTGTTTAGATGGAAATAATTGAACGGGTGTGTAGTTGGAAACTAAACAGCCCTCGAAACTGTATGAATTAGTGGTGGAACTAATTTAAGTTAATTATTTTGTAGATACTTTCAAAAATATCAAAGTTTTTAATAATTTTCGCCATGTTTGAGAACATTTTAAAAACTTTCTTTTTTTATGTTCAGAAACTTTGCAAGGTGTTGGAAAATATTTTTCCAGAAATGTGGCTGTGATTGTAAAAAAAACTACTAGAATTTTTTTCATCAACTAAAAGTTAATTTTTTTTCATGAATTGAATTATCTTTGATAAATTATAATTACATTGACTTCACTTATAACAAAAGTCTTTATTAATAACAACAAAAAGATTTGTGTAACAAAATTTACATAAAATTAGTGTCACATTCTAAAACCAGGTTGTGGAAAATCAAATACACCATAAATGTTTAATAGTATGTTAGAATATTTGTCAGGCAATAATATTGACTGACGGTACAATGTTCAAAAATATTTATCTATTTTGAGGAATAATAGAGCCGATGATTTAGTTTACTGATGATTAATCTATACACTTCATCATCAATATCCTCAACGCGTTGATTAAATGCAAAAAATAAGCTCATGATAATGAAATACAGTCTTTCGATGGAGCATCAATAAAAAAACTTGTCTAAAGTAAGATAATTAACAAAAAATTGTAGATATTCTTTACAATACAACAACAATAAATTTTTATTATTTAAATTTGTAATAAGATGTTGTTTACAAAAATGAGTGAAAATGATGATAGAATAATAAATGTGATAAGTTACCAGTTATTTAAACAGAGTGAAAAAATGATTTTAACGTAATAATGTCTAAAAATAATATCCTGTAATATACATGACACTCATAAACTCCGCTCCGTTTTTAATAATACAATAATATTTCACGATATGTAGAAATAAAAGGCAATTATACATCATAGATGTTGGCAACTATTTGATATTTCCGATAAAACTAATTATTTACTTTTAATTGATAGATTAGTGATAGAAGATTAAATTGACATATTGAAATTAAAAAAAAGATATATCTAAATAAAGTGAATTACTCTATTGGTTTTCATCACATTCTGTCTTTTAATGCTTCCATTTTAAAACGAAATTTAATGAGTGAATTTTGGAAGTTTTTTTTTTAATTGGATCAATGTCTAAAGCAAAGTAGTCTATTCAATTATTGTTTTTTCAATTCATCAAACGTTACTTCTATCACTATTTTATCTTGGAGATAAAATTAGTTCAGAAATATTTAATTCTTTTTTTTTTGTTTCATTGAAATTTGTTTTAATTAAAAATATATTAAATTTTTCATTAAAAATTTAATTTACAAAAAAATTTTCGCACTAAAATTTTATTTTGTAGGCAACATCATGTATTACAGAAATATTCATCAAATTCTGTCGAATAAACACAGTTAATTTCCTCCTATAATATACATATCCAGTAGTCAAGCAGTGCCACAACAAACAGAATCATTGATGATCATTTATATTCGCGAGGATTTGTGCAATTACATTTATATGTTTAGACAGTAGGGGTAGTTGAACGTGAAAATACCACTCATTAGGCTCTCACTACCTATAAAAGGAGTCATTAAAGCAAATGGATTTGATGCAATGAGATGAAACATTGATAATCATTAGCAATGATAATTTAAATAGTTCCTCGAGATTCAATTGGAAATCGTTACCACAGTCTGTATGTATATATTATTTCATAGATTATTAAATCTAAATTTATTACTAATGACTCCAAATATTGAAACATATTCTGATCACCTAATGCTACTACGTTTGCATATAATGTATTTGTTATTGATATTACTTCTTATACGTATAGCCAATAATTATCTCAAACGCATCAAATGAATAAATTTTATAAAAGCAATAATAAATTAAAAAACAATTTACTAATTTCCCATTAGAAAATGATGATAATGGGATCGATTTTTAAAATTCGCAATTTTTTACAGCCAAATTTCATTTGAAAGATAATATGAAAAAAAAATTGGACAAGATTTTTTGTTCTAATAACAACAAATACTATACAATGAATAAAGTATAAAAAGACTATGAAAAATTAACCTTACTTATTACATGATCAGGATTGTTAAAAAATTTGATCAATATTGATGAAATATTGTTATTGATGACTTCGTATGATCCATTAAAATTGCACATTGTTTATAGCAATTTTAATTTGTTATAAGCAAATTAATAAAATAACAATGATATAGAAATAAGAAAATATAGATAGATAAGATCTTTATAAAATTGTGTCAAAAAAAGCTATCATAATCCACAGTCAATGCACTGTAAATCCAAGTGCATTTTTGCTTCACATCTAAACGTGTTAAGTATGACATCACCCATTTGATTAACATTTTAGTTACTTTTTACACACTTAGAAACGCATTAAAAGTGCA